GGCCGCGCCCTCACCGGTAGACGACCTTCACGCAGAAGGTCTCCTCGTTCTTGTCCTCGGCGTCGTCGATGTGAATCAAAACCTCCTGCTCCCCGGGGCTCCGACTGGGCGCAAACCGCAGGCCGATGGTGTAGGTCTCTCCGCCCGCGACCTGGCACAGGCGCCAGTCAGCACCAGCCCGGCGCCCTCTCCTCCGCAGCCCCCACGCACCCCCCGCGTCTCCTCCAGCCCCGAGGTCACATGGACCCGTGGGACCTCAGCCTGGCTCCCGCCTCGGTCCTGGGCTGCGGGCCTCCAGGCACCGGTCTCTGAGCGGGGTCCCCAAGCTCCTGCGGCGCGCCCGACATGACTGCCTTCCAGGACCCGGGGAGACGCCTCCCAGCCCGACACCTCCACCGACTGGCAGCTGTGACCTGCCGAACCTCCCTCCAAGGCTCCCAACAGATTAGGGTGAACGTGGGGCAGCTCTGGGTAAAACTATGGAGAAACCACGGGGACAGTCTGTCACCAGGCCCGACCCCCGAAATGGTGCCTAGACGCGGGGTCTCCGAGACAAAGGTGGAGGGGCTCACAGAGGTGCCCCTCCCTGCTCAGGCACCACCAGGTTCCCCTCCCAGGGCTTTCTGAAGATGCCCGGTTACTAGACGGAATCCCTCCACCCCCAGCCCCCACCCCCAGGGCTCGGGAAGAGGCAGAGCCTCAGGGCCTCTCCCCGCAGCGCCCCCACCTGGAAGGCGTCCTCCTTGAACCGCAGCAGGTCGGGGCGGTTGCTGTGCAGGCGGTAGGTCCGCCGGAAGGGGTAGGGGTTGGTGTAGGTGATCATCTTGCTGGAGCCCTTCCCCTCTCCCGCGGCCATCGTGATCTCAAAGGCCTGTGGGGAAGGGCAGCCGTGGGCGTGGGCTCCTGCAGGCCTTTCCTGAGCCTGCCCTGCGAGGGCCCCGGCAGCGGGAGGCTCCGCACACAGGACAGGGGAGCCCTCTGGGCTCCCAGCCGAGGGGCTCCTGGCTCAGGCGCAGCCCCCCCCGACCCTGGGCCAGAGGACAGGAGGAAACTGCTGCCTGGAGCCAGGCAGGCCGGGGCGGAGGGACCAGGTGACCATCGGGTGCCACAGCACCCGTGCCACTCGGCCCACGCACGTCACCCTTCCAGACCTTGGAAATGAGGGGCAGGCGGCAGGACAGGCACACGAGCCACGAGGCCACGAGCTGGTGGTAGTCCACGTCGACCACGTTAAGGTGGACGAAGCGGCTGCCCGCCCTGCGGGGCCTCACCCCCACGTGCAGGTCCTGCACCCCGTGAGGCGGCAGCGTGAAGACACCTTTGGGGTCCACCTTCAAGAAGAACAGAGAGAAGCAAGTGGGGACAAGGGGTTTCCAAGCACCTGCACCCAGGGACTGGGCATACATGGCAGAGGCCAGAGAACACTGGAGGGATCCGGCAGCCCCCAAGGCCGTACCGTCAGCTCCTGGGGGTGTGAGGTGAAGGCCCTCACTTTCCTAACCGTCGGCGTCCCCCGAAGGACTAGGGACAAGCGGGTCCTCTGGCCTGTGACACAGGAGACGTCCACGCGCTGCAGGGAGTGCAGGTGGACCTGCCAGATCTGGACAGGTGTTGCCAGCCAGCGATCCCTGCAAGGGACAGAGGCCAGGAGGAAGCCAAGAAGGCTGCCTGGAGGAGGGGGCAGGAGGAGGGGTCCAGCAGGGCTGCTTCCTCACTGCCTCCCTACCACCGACCACCACGCGTACTCACATGTAAATACTGACAATGAAGTCCTTGCTCTCCGGGCTTGGACCACTAGCCACCTTCAGGAACACGTCCCTCGGCTCCCCGGGGCCCTGCCGGATGGTGGGGGCATCAGGAATGCCGTCCGCCTCTCACAGGAACACTGCCCGCCCCTGTGACTCAGCCCCTTGGCCCCACGAAGCCACAGCAGGTGGGACCCAGGCCCCGACAAGCTTCTAATTTTCTGTCCTACTCAGAATTCACTATTTTTTTCACTGCAAAAAAGAAAACCATTAGCTTCCTGGTTCTACACTGAGTCAGTAATTATCTTCTGCAGGAGACGGCACCCAGCCCCTAAGTAGTCACCACAGTGACGGCGTCACCCTGTACACAGTGGCAGTAAGCGCCCTCGTGACCACTCGCACTCACTCACTGCCTCAGATAATCAAGGGGCTGGCCCGCCGGCGGGGACAGGGAAAACTTGTCCGTGACGCTCAGGAGGATGGCAAACAGCCCCTGGGCCCCTCAGGGAGAGGCTGCTTCACGGGGGACGTGCAACGAGGGGGCTGCAGACGGGCGCGGCGCCGGGGGCTGGGCGAGGAAGGACGGAGCCGCCACTCACCACATTCTGGGTCTCGCAGATGACGCCCGGGTCGCTGCATCTGACGTGGACCGGGGGCGCCTCGCCGGGCATCCCCACAGGAGCACCTGGAGTGGAAAATACCGAGACACACGTCTTTCCCCGGCAGGTTTGGGAGGCACAGGCACCGAGATGGGCCACCACAGTACCGCCCACGCCTGCAGGGACGCTGGGCCTCCCGGGGACTCGGCTGCCTCCTGGGGACTCGTCTGAAGGCAGCGGCCAGAGAGTAAACACAAGTGCTGGGAGCAAGGTGCCAGCGTGAGGCTCTGCTAGCTCTATGGGCACCAGACAGAAAACGGTGAGCCGCGGGTGGAGGGGGAGTGTCCCCAGCATGGCCCCCGTGCTGTGGCTCTCAGGAGGGTGCGCTCAGCCACCCAGGGCGCCCCGTCATCTCGGGGGAGGCGAGACGCTCGCCATTTCAAACGGAACAGTGCCGGCAGGAGGCAGAGCTGACAGGTGTGCCGGGTGTTGCTCTAGCGAGAGCACCACAGGGTAAGATAACGATGCCACCTGGCACCTTGGGGAAAACCTTCCCCCGTCTGTCGAGCCCACAGAACACCGGCCACGGGGAGCAACGGGACCTGCCTGGAAGCGTGTGCCAGGGAGGCAGGCGGATGGCTTTCTTCAGGTAGGTGAGCTCCGGGTGGTAGAAGCGGAAGACCTGGTCCACCACGTGGGGCTGCAGCTGCACTGTGAGGCAGAGCACGGCGAGGGGCTTGCCGTCGCGGGCCCGGAACAGCACCTGCGGGCGACGGCGCATCAGACGCACACAGCTGGCGGGCAGCTGTGCACACCGCCCCGTCCACAGACAGGGACGTGGTCTCCGTGGCCCGCTCAGGCCCACAAGACGGAACCCGGCGTGTCCAGAGACGCGGCACAGTCTGCGCAGCAGGAGCCCACGCCCAGGGGACAGCGCCCGGCACAGGGTCTGCACGTGGACGTGTCCCCCCCACATGCGTATTGCACATGGCTGCCGCCACTTCTCTTTCTACCGAGTGATGCAGGGGAGCTCTGGGTGGTGGAAGCGGAAGACCTGGTCCACCAGGTGGGGCGGGACTGCACCTTCAGGAGGTGCTACAAGGCCAGGCCCACGCAGCCTGAGACNCACGTGGACGTGTCCCCCCCCACGCGTATTGCACGTGGCTGCCGCCACTTCTCTTTCTACCGAGTGATGCAGGGGAGCTCCGGGTGGTGGAAGCGGAAGACCTGGTCCACCAGGCGGGGCGGGACTGCACCTTCAGGAGGTGCTACAAGGCCAGGCCCACGCAGCNACATGCGTATTGCACATGGCTGCCGCCACTTCTCTTTCTACCGAGTGATGCAGGGGAGCTCTGGGTGGTGGAAGCGGAAGACCTGGTCCACCAGGTGGGGCGGGACTGCACCTTCAGGAGGTGCTACAAGGCCAGGCCCACGCAGCCTGAGACACAGCGGGCCTCTCTACACTTCGCTCCGTCCACTCAGAGGACACGGGGCTTGCACCTCAAGGCCTTGTGCATGTCCCAATCGGAGGCCTGTCTTCTGCCCCTCACCTTGGCGCGTCTGGTGGGCATCGCACTAGACTTCCCAGGAGATCCAGGGTCCGTGCCCTTTTCATCTNACAGGCCTGTCTTCTGCCCCTCACCTTGGCGCGTCTGGTGGGCATCGTGCTAGACTTCCCAGGAGATCCAGGGTCCGTGCCCTTTTCATCTCTCAGTTCAGCAGGGCCCTGTGGGAAACCAACCAGCACCACTGGGTCACAGACAGAGTCCTGGGGTGACGGGTGCTGCTTTCTACCTGCAGAACGTCCACCTGTAGGAACAGCTACCACCCAGGGCCTCACTGGCTCTCACGGTGACGCTCCGGGCGGCTGCTGTTATAACCAGCCTCACTGCCCCAAAGAGGCTGCGAAGGCTGCGTGAGCTATGGAGGGAGGACTCCTACGTGCTGGCCCGGCTCTGCTGAAGCCAGAGGCCTGACAACCTCACCTCTGTCCTTAAAACCTCTTGTCCCCAAAGTGCGTCTCAAAGCCTACAGGGAAACCTGCGAACCCCTGGGATTCCTCAGGCCATTTAAGGGATGATCTTTATCCCAGAGAACTGACCCCAAGGGTCAGCTGTCCAAAAATTGAAGCACATGCCCATCACACACGCACACNCGCCCATCATACACGCACACACGCTCCTCACGTCCTTACAGGAACCCTCAGTCCCTGCCTCTCGCTGAGGAGCAAATGTGACAGTAACAAGCGGGCCAACAGCCCTAGGTGGAGAGTAAGGTGCTGGGAAGGTCCAGCTCGTGCCTAAGGACCATGTCCACCAACTCTCCTGAGGTCTAGGGAAGGCCCTTTGGCCAGTTTGGTAGAGAGACCCGGAAACAGCNTATGCCTATGGACCATGTCCACCAACTCTCCTGAGGTCTAGGGAAGGCCCTTTGGCCAGTTTGGTAGAGAGACCCGGAAACAGCCACCACGCACACAGGAAGCATGAGGTATCTGGGCCACTGCACTCAGCGCGGGTGCCAAGGCGCAAGGAGGCAAAGCCCTCAGGCTTGGCACTGCGCCACGGCTCAGAGGCTTCCCAATGCCAGGGCTGTTTGCTGCGTGGGGCTTCCCCGTGTGCCCAGCAACCAGCCCCTGGGCCCTGGAAGAGCAGCCCCCCACCTGCGCCACGGAGAAGGTCTGGTACTTGAAGGGGATGTGGGTGGTCTCCCTGGGGCGCAGGAAGAGCTGGGGGGCGAGGCCGCCCTGCAGGTGGAACATGTCCTCCTCCAGGGGCGTGTGCAGGCCGGCCGCCTCCTTGAAGTGTCTCCACTCCCGGCTGTCCAGGATGAGGCTGCAGGGAGCGCGGGGCTGAGAGCATGCTCCCCCTGCGCGTGCCCACAGGGAGCGGCCCCGCCCTTTCCAAGCCGCTCCCACCTCAGCTCAGGGTTGTCCACCTCCACGGTCACTGTGTGTGACGCGTTGTGGGGGTTCCTGAGAGCAAACTCGAAGAACTCGGCGGTGCCCAGCGCAGCGTAGATGGTGTGCTCCGTGGTGATGGCCAGGCTCAGCGCCCTGGCGATGCTCTGGGACTTTGTGCGCTCCCGGTAGGCGGCGATGACCTGCAGGTCCCGCGCATGCTGAGCCCGGACATTCTGCTGAGTCTGCGAGATCCAAGGGCCTGAACCAGGGCCAGCGTCCTGGGCATGCTCTCCTCTAGGGCTGTTTTCTAGCCACCTTCCCCCAACCCACCTCGAGCACCAGATTTCTTCTGCAATAACCCTCGCCCACCTCAAGCACCAGATTTCTTCTGCAATAACCCTCACCCCACCTCGAGCACCAGATTTCTTCTGCAATAACCCCCGCCCCTTCCTCACATGTGGGCTGGGTGGGACCCGCCGGCCTCCAGCTCCAGCAAACAGAATGGGGCATGCCTCCCTCCCCACACTGCACACCCAAGGGCAGGAGCCCCTCCCGACCCACCCATGAGGGCCGCACACAGTGCGCGGAGGAGGTGACCCTGACCCTGGCACAGCTTCACCCCGAGGAAGGGGTGTCATCTGGTCAGATATCTGCCTAAAGGTAAGGGCAATCTCAGAGCTTCCTCAGGCCCCCGCGGCTTCTTTACTCTATAAACCCACACAGAGCAGCCGTTCTCACCTCCCATTTCCTAGTTGCAAAACATTACAGGGTCTTAGACTTTGAGCCAAAAATGGGAATTTGGTCAGGACGACTGCTCTGACAACCCGGGATGTAGAAGCGGCCACAGCTCCGCTCCCCAGCCCTGGGGACCTCAGAACCCCCTGCAAAGCTTTCTTAAAGCCCAGGGCTCCCAGGAGCCCCAACCCAATTAGAGTCAGGATCTCCAGGGCGGGGCCCGGAACCCACTTTCACCAAGAGCGCTCCCGGTCGCTCTGACGGGAGGACGCCCATTGGTGGCTGAACGGTCCACCTTTCTCAATCCCGCGGGTGGGATCTGGAGGAAACGGAGGCAGGCTGCCGCCCTGGGGACAGCAAGGGGACAGGCTCACCAGCACGCCGCTCCTCCGGCCGCCGCGCTCGCCCGCGGCCTCCCGCTCGCGCACTGTCCTCATGCGCTCCAGCTTGCGCCTGCGGACAGCGTCCCCCTCTCGGCCGGCGCCCTGGGGGCCCTTGCTCCCCGGGGCCGTGGGCGTGAACAGCATGGCGGCCAGCTCGCTGTCCACCTCGGCCAGCCTGTGCGCCTGGACCACACCTTTCACCCCTAGGAGGTTCAAAGAGGAGCCGGAGGTTAAAGTGCACAGCTAGCTTTTTAAGCAGACGGGCAACGAGCCTCCAAGAGCCACATGGCCCAGAGGGAGCTGCGAGTGTCGCTCTTTCCCACACATTCTAAGGTGGCAAAGGTGGTAATCAGACTGGTCGCCGCCGCGTGGTCCCGACCTGCTCTCCATTCCCTCTTCCCCTGCGGGAGAGCAGCAGGCCAGGAACAAATGCCGCTCGTAGGGTTATAATTTCTCTGTGAGATACAGGGCGGCTCCCACAGAGCCCAGGCTAGGGCACGGGGTCTGACCAACGTGACGGACCGGCGTGGCCTGCAGGTCCACGGAGGCAGGGCCACGGAGGCAGGGCCACGGAGGCAGGTCCACAGAGGCAGGGCACTAAGCTGGGCGCTGGCGGCCACCACTCTGCCCCCAGATCCAGAGGGGCGTGCACACAGCACACGCTCACACGGGCACACTCACATGCACCTGCACAGGCAGCCTTCTCCCCCTCGGTTGACTCCACCCCGCCCCACGCCAATCACACCAGTGCACGACCCGCCCGCCCGCCAGTCCACTCACGTCGCGGGCCCCCACGCATGAGGAGGCTGCCTCCCTCGAAGCGGCTGGCTCCGTCGTTGGAGACGACCCTCAACCTGGAAGGTGGCAACACGCTGGGATCTCTCCCTCTCTGTTCACACAGGTGACCTGAATGGAAAACACCAGCATGAGACATTAACACCAAATGAGAGCCTGATGCCACATCCATGTGCCCCGTGAGGAGGTCCCTCTGCCAACTGGCCCTCCCGCGCCTCTGGCCCACACCCCACATCCCACCCTCGGTTCTGAATCTGCAACCGAGAGATGACAAAGGGCAGGAGCTTATTTCCTCGGAGCCCCTTCCTCGCCAGGTCCCACTCCCTCCTTCTGGCGGGAGCCCTGCTTTCCCGGGTGGGTTAGAGCTGCAGGCTCTCGGAGGGCCTGCAGGCCGCATCCGACTTCTCATGTCTGGATGGGCCCCAGCAGCCTGCGAGGTGAGGCATTTGCACAGGTGCACCGAGGCCAGCGTGCAACTCAGTGGCATGGAGAAGCCAGGCTCCAAACGCACCCAGGGGTGCAGAATCTTCCTGGCTGTTTTCAAAATGAAGCTTTGCAGGGATGGATGTTTAGGGGGGTCAAGTGCTGCCCAGGCGAGGCCGAGCCAGGCACAGAGACACTGGTGTGGACCTGCCGTCACCTGGACAGATCCACAGCCGTTGCCCAGCCTGCAGGCCTGTGCCGGCGGCTTGGTGCAGAACCGCCAGCTTCATAAGAAAATAAGAGCCACAACACTTTTTCTTTCAAAAATTGCCAAACGTGCAGAGGAAGCCGCAGCGTGGCCGCGCAGGGGCCGTGCGTGGGCTACGTGCGGCCCGTCTTTTGCCAGCCGCTCCCCGGCACGTCTGCGCTCAGCCTCTCGAGCAGGTATCTCAGGCTCTTTCCCATGAGCTTATCTCCCTCTTGCAGGCAAAGCATGAAAATGACAATTTAAGATAACGCATAATGGAGCTAATCTTTCTTCTGAAGATAAGATTTTAACACCCGGAGTCACTGCACATTTGTGGGCTGGTGAATTAAGTGTAAAAATAACCAGCGCGATCTTGGCAGCTGAAAGCTTCCTGCAACTCCCCGGTCCTGCGAGCTTTTGAATAATGCCTGCTGCTCACATGCGGCTCGTTTGTTTCTCTGGAACCTAATTGAGTTTTGCTGTTTCCACATTGTCTATTTTCCCAGCTGCCCGGGATCCTACATTTGTAAACAAGCAGACAGGAACCTCGAGCCCAGCTTAATGAGCCCGCGCACCTGCTGCGGCCCAGCATCTCGCCCGTGCCGACGCCGTGGACGGGGCCCCTGGGGCTCGAGCCTTTACGCTCAGGCTGGGGCTTGAGGAATGGAAAATTCCCCAGTAAAACCTCAGAGGTTTGAGTCCTATCCAGATAGGCACGGATCCACAAACCTTAGATGGCTTGGTGTTGCCCAGCTTTCAATGTTGCCCAGAGCAACCCCAGTCCCTCCACAGTCCCCTCGGGGCAGCTGAGTGGGCTGGTCACTGGCCCTCTGCCCTGAGGCAGCCTCTGTCCCCGGTCCCATCAGGGACCTCGGTCGCACCCCAGAAGGCCACCCCCAGCCCAGACCCCCTGCACGTGGGAAGGGGAGAATCAGGGCTCAGCCTCCCTGAGGAGCAGATCTCGAGACATTGGGACACCATGTGACACAAGGTCCCAGCACTGGGCTCTACAGTGTGTTCCCGTCCCCGCCCCAGGCTGTGTGGACCTTCAGGAACGTTTCTCTTCTCCCTGCTCCCTAGTGAGGCAGTTCTGAGGGCTGGCGCTCCCAGTGAGAGTCTCTCCTGGTCACTGCGTTTGAGGACTGTCACAGCAGGGCCCCAGGGACAGCACCAAGAAACAAAATGAGGGCTGGGCCAAGATGACCAATAATCCCAAGTCCTGATCAGAAATCAGGAACACCAAACCACCGGTGCCAGGACAGACTTGGTGGTCAAGGGCAGGCCTGGTGGACAAGGGCAGGCTCATTGGTCAAGGGGAGGCCCAGCGGTCAAGCTAATAAGAGTTTTTCTGAATTCCTACAGAGTACATGAGGCCCACAGGGTGACCACTGCCCTGAGGGAGCTCACGTACCAGCTGGAAAGATGAGGGGCTGCCCGGGAAATGGCACGAGGTCAGACAAGGCTGCCGGGACTCTTACCCACGTTGGCCAAGGTCAGGTGCAGCCGGCCCCTCACCACCGTGTGGACGCCGATCGGCCTGACACCGCCAAACCCAGCCACGTCTCCACTCGGCACCATGGCGTCCTGTTCATACTCAGTCGCCACCACCTCGAGCTCATGGGAGACCTGCACGGCCGGCCGCCCCTGGCGGAGGAGATGCTGCAGAGGAGGGAGGCGCATCAGCGCGGCCCAGGCAGAGCCACCTTCCGAAAACCAGGATCCCTGGTGCCAGCCGGGGCTTTTCCACAGATTCTTAATGAAGCGCAAAGCGATTCGCCCACTGAGCAAACGCCAGGGGGCTGCCCTCGTGGAGCCCCCTCTGTGGGGAGGCAGAGGGGACAGAGCAACAGGACAAGGCAGGGACACTGAGCAAACCCCACGTCCAGTCGGTCAGAGCTCCACGGTCTGAACCGGACCTTTCAGAACCAAGATGCGCCCACAGGCAGGAGAAGCCGGGGACACGCCAGGCCTGGTGCGGAGCACAAGCCCCCCAACCCCGGGGGCCAGAAGCATGGGGTCAGCGTGGCTCTCCGGGAACCGACCGCCATCCCACGGAAGGAGCAGGTGCCATCACCTGGCCGGTCCGCTTGTAGGACTGAGAACTGGGCAAATGGAGCCAGCACCGCAGAATGTGGGCTTCGTGAAAACCGTTTCCTTTCGGGAAGGAGAGAGCTCAGCAGTGTTTTCACTTTGCAAACAAGGAAGCCGGGCCGCAGCGCGGCGCTGGACAGCGGTCGGCACCAGGAGAAGTGGGACCTTCTGGGGGGGCGCCCGCCCTGGCAGCGCCCAGCCCGCAGGGCCCACTACCTTCATCTGCACGGCCGCAGAGCCGATGAGAAGCAGGGAGTCCCCGTCCCAGGCGTCCACCTGCAGCGTCTGCACGGCCAGGTAGCGGACGAACCAGCGCCACTCCCCCGGCCTCAGGAACCCGGGGTCCACCAGGTAGCGCAGCTGGAAGCCGAGAGAGCCTGTTTCGAGAGGCCCCAAATGAGTCCAAACGTAACTGGAGTCACTTACCATCTTTACACCTCGAAGAGGTTTCCGCCCTAGTCGCGATGACCAATTCCTGCACGTGGCCACTTCAACAAATAAAGTGAAAAGCGGGTGGGACGCTGGTGGCAACTGCAGACAGGGGAATGTGAGAGTCGCCACTCCCACCCGGGCCTGATCTGAACAAACTATTAAAACACTGTATGACCCTACCGGGTAATTTTTAACACTGGGTAGACAGTTAATAATATTAAGGAATTATTATTAATTTTTAGGCGGGATAATAGTATTAAGTTTACGTTTTTCAGAAAAGACCCCGTGGTTTTTCACATACACATAAGGGACTATTTACACGTGAAATTCTACAATGAAATTACGGCGCCGGTTGGACAGAGATCTGGGCGGGGACGTAGTGGATACTGTTGGAGCTGATTCATTACGCTAGCCTCTCAGATTCTGTGTACGTTGGAGAATTCTTCCTTGTGCAGCATTTTCTAACAATGGAACTTCCAGACGCAGCTCGGTGCTGGCTCCGGGCCGTGGGCAGGGGCACGGCACTCACCGGCGTCCGAGGAGCCATCCTTGCGGATGGGAGCCAGGACATGCGACAGGGAGCCCGAGCGGGCCTTCCCGGCCTCCTCCAGCTTGAGCAGCTGCAGCCGCGGGGTCGTCGCAGGCGGGAAGCGGTAGAACTGGAAGGTGAAATACACGGTGTTCGGCCACGGCGTTCCCTGGTCGTCCTGGGGCACCCTGAATCCACAGAGCCTCGAATTAATCAAGAGTTCTCGGCAGAGAGCGAGGCTTTCGTCACCCACTTCCACGGGGAGACAGCGGGCGCCGCAGGTGACACGCTGTCCCCTGCAGCCTCGTGAACAGCTGTGCTGAGACCTTGGGGAGCCCGCCCAACGTCAGCCCACTTCAGGCGTGGCCAGGGAGGCCTGCTCCCTGAGCCCCGCCAACACCCAAGAGCTGGCCGACAACACGCTGCCCGCGTTCCCGTGAAGGGCCCGAGAGACGGGCAAGGCAGGGCCTGCGGCACAGGAAACGGCTGGGCCTGAGGCTGGGAGAGTCCCGGCCACACCAGAGAGAAACAGACGGCAGCCGCTCACCTACTGAGGCCCGAACCCAGCGCGCTGCCAGGTCAGGACCACGCAGAGGTTTTCATTCGATGCAAGAAACGCAAAAGCGAGGAAAAGACGCACAGACAGGATGTTCCAGAGCTTGCCTGCTAAAGGCGAGAAACTGCAGCACTATCTCGTTGCCTTGCAGACAGTCTGACTCCTCCTTCTGAGGGCTGAACTTCACGGGGTCGGTAGGGTCGACGGCCTCGACGGGCTGCTTGCTGGCGTCCAGGATCTCGGGGAAGCCGGGGGCCTGCAGGAGCGCCAGGCAGGCCCTCGAGAGCTTGCTCCCGGAGCTGAAACACAGGCGTCCTCAGCGGTCGGGGGGGGCCCGCTGAGAGGCAGCACTGGAAACCCACCTCTCTGGGGAAGGCCTGGCGGTCAGAGGGCCAAAGAGCCCCGACGGCACCGCGATGGCAGCCGCCCTCCCCCCGTGTGCCCCTCACCTCCGGGTCTGGGCCCCCACCACAATCGGGGTGTGCACAGGGGTGAAAGGCAGCTCCCGCAACTGCTCAGCCACACACGTTCCCGGGGCCAAGGACATCTGGCTCAGGTCGGCTTCCAGGTGTGCGATCCCGCCCTCCAGGGGGAACCCCTGTTGGACAGAACGAGGCCCCGGGTAAGGCCCCGAGGACGCTCAGTGGTGGGGCTCAGCCCGGAGCCGCCTATCACGTTGTCAGCATCAGCAATAAAAATACAAGAGGCTCAGCTGCACTTTAATGTCAGGGAAACAGTGAATAATTTTAGTGTAAGTCCCGTGTGATAATTGGGACATGTTTATACTGAAAAGTTTTTTTTTATCTGAAGTTCAAATTTATCTGGACATCCTGTATTTTATGTGAGTTGTAAAGCAAAGAGGAAGGAATCGGTGATTTTACGAACAACTCAGAACCGTGGGAGAGACGTGATGCCCGGGAAGGTGAGTTAACATCCAAACCGCGTTTACAGACAGACGACACCTCCCTCGACACTGCCACAGACCGTGTCCCGGGCCCTGGCTCGTGTGCACACACAGACGTCTCGTCCCCACGCCACTCACATCGCACCGTCCACTTCCCCCCAGAGCAGAAGGCGCCTGTCTGAAAGGCCTGTCTGGGAACCCGGAACCCCCTCTTTCGAGTCTGCTCCCCGCACTGTCTTGGTTCAGAAGGAGCACATGACCAGAGGCAACCCCAACAGTAAGAGATGCAAGCTCTAAAATCAATAAGCATGCCCGGCCGGGCGTGGCTCAGTGGTTGAGCGTCGACCTAGGATCCAGGCGATCGGGGTTCGATTCCCGGTCAGGGCACATGCCCGGTTGTGGGCTCGATCAATGACTCTCTCATCATTGATGTTTCTCTCTCTCTCCTTCTCCTTTCCTCTCTCTGAGATCAATAAAGACAGATTAAAAAAAGAAAAATAAAATAAATAAAATAAAATAAAATCAATAAGCATGTCCTCGAGTGAGCATTAAAGAAATAATTATAGAAATAACAGAGATGCAAGCAAGCTCTTCACGAGCACAAGCCCCGATGCCCACGGTGGGCAAAAGTAGGTGCACAGTTGTGAGGAAACAAAGCACAGAGTTTACTCTTGTATTATGTATTAATTATTAATTATGTATTAATTAATTTTCCATACGCACAGCTGCAAACCTACCTCTGCCCCGCCCTGCATATTAGGATGCGGCCTGCCGGCTGCCACCATGGGTTTTCAAACAAGTCACTACACGGAGCTGTTTCCCTCCAGACTTACAGGGAGGACTGGAGACACCGTCGGCAGGGGAAGCAGCCCGCGCTTGGTTTGAAACTCCGAGGGTTTCGCCAAGGTCAGTGGGAACACGGGCCTGTTTTAGGGGATCCGCCCCAGCGAGATTGGGGTTGGGGGCCTCAGTAATTCCCCTCCCCGCTGACAGCAGGGGAGAGTGTGCTGAGAGCCAGAGGCCTGGATCAGCCTCTATTTTTATCTCCACAAAATCACCCCTCCCTCCCACACGCAGACCTGGGGCGGTTTAATGTTGAACGCCGCCATCTCGGGTAGAGCAAGAGCCTCAACCAAGCCCCGGCAGGGAGGCCAGGCCAAGTGCTCGTGGGTCGCCAGGCAGAAGGTGGCCCAGCTCTGAGGTATGGGAGGTCCCTGGGGCGGTGTCACAGAGAACCCACGATGGCCTTGGTCCCCCACCTGGGACCAGCGTGCTGGCAGAGCCAAGCCTTCCAGGGTCGGGAGCCTGGAGCCACCGCCCAGAGGAAATTGGGGCACACTTACCGCCGGGGCCTGAGCGGGCTCGGAGCCTTCGGGCTGCTGGGAAGAGGGCTTGGCTGAGCGGCACTGAGTCGGGGACCGCGGGGAAGCTGCCAGCTGGGAGACCGACAACTGAAAGAGAGCGCTTAGGTGAGAAGACTGTGCCCTCCCGTGATCTCACGTAGGCCCTCTGCCCACGCGGGCACAGACCACGGGAAGGAAGCCGTGACTGCGGGCCCTCTCCTGGGAGAGAGGTCGGGAGGGGAGTGGGCAGGCCACACCTCGGTGTCTCGGGCAGAAAACAAAGGCTGGTCAATCCCGACGGTTCTCGGCCCTCAAACACAGTCAGGGAAGACACGTTGCTTCAAAGCGGAGAAAGTCCGTCCATGCAAACCGAGGGCCACTGAGCCTCTGCAGCTGCCCCCTGACAGCCGCTGCGCGGACGGGCAGGAGGGAGACCTGGCTGCCCCGGCCACCTTGGCCGGTGGTCCCTCCCTTTCCAGCCCCAGGACCCTCCCAGCCAGGAAAGCACACACAGCATCAACTATCCTGAAAGATGAAGGGGAACAGTCCCACCCCTGGAGCCTTTACTAACTGGTTCTGGAATCCTGGAAATCCCGTCAGGCCTCAACTTACCCCTGGTCCCACAGGCGAGTTCTGGGAGGTGGCGAGCCCCTGAGATGGCGGCACTGGGGGGCCTGGAGGGAAGCACACGGGATGGGGGCGCCGTCAGCCTGGGCAGGGCCCAGGGCACCCCAAGCCCCCACTCATCGGGGCCTGACACATCTCCCCTCAGGGGTATCCAGTGCCTCCACTCGGAGCTGGCAGCAGCGACCAGGCCGTCCCCACACTCGGTGGTTTAGAGGACTTGGGTGTGCAGGGACACATCACTGCCTCCCATCCACAGTGGGGCTGCACAGGCCCTGAGCCCCTCCTGACGGGGCCCCTCTGCCCACCGGGAGGCCCAGGTGTGACCGGGGCACTTGCCTGCCAGGGTGACCCACCAAACCCCCAAGGACCATGGCTCATCTGCAGCCCTGGGGGCCACACCCTGCCTCACTCATCAGGGTTCCCTGCAGACACCAGACTGTCCACTTCCCGTTGGACTTCAAGACAGTCTAGACTCCTGAGAAGTCATAGCCCACCCCTGCCCCCTGTGACCCTTGCGTGGCCCTGACCACCGTCTTCGGCTCTCCCTCCCTCCTCGGTGGCCTCTCCTGATGACACGGTCACATCTGAGCCTGGAAGAGGCAGGCACCATGAGCGAGCTGGAGCCGATGAACCCACCTTTCCCTGCAGCCCCGAGCCCCCAGGACCCACGGCGGGCCCTCGGCATCGGCTGACCAGCCAGCAGAACCGTTATGGTAGATGCCGCACAGTCCACAGAGAAGGCCCAGCTCCTTCCTGTGCAGCTCTGAGTCCCCATGAAACAGGAATAACAGCGACGGAGCCTGTGCCCACCGAGGAGGAATCGAGCACACGAAGCACCACCCAGACTGGCCCTGCTGTGCCCACGAGGGCCACATGCCACCAAAGCCCCTTCCAGCTGCTCCAGAACCCACCGGAGAAGGTGGGCAGGTTCACCCCAGGCTGAGGGGCCAGGCTGATGGGCAGTGGGGGACAGGGACAGCCAGGAGGCGCAGAGGGAGCTCCCCGCTCAGGTGGTCCGAGCTGCCAGCACCTCACCTGCCCAGCTCCCTTGTCCCAGGGCCAGGCTCGGACCATCTCCCTCTCTCCCTCGGAAGGCTCTCTGGCGCCCTCCAGCAGAGCAGGCCCTCAGGTCCCTATAAAGCTGCTTGCTTGCTCCCCACGCCCTGCTCCTCCGGGCACACCCTCCTGGGTGGCAGGACCAAGGAAGGACACTGCCTGTCGAGGGCACGTGCCCGACAGTGTCGACAGCTCAGGTCACAACTAAGTCAAGAATCTAACCCGATACCTTCTTGGGAACACCGTGGTGACACATTTGCAGTGACCCCTCCCGGGGTGGTTCTTAAGTCTGTGGAGCGAACACAGCGGATTCTGACACAACCAGAACGTGCCAAAGCAAAATGTGGGTCAGGGAAATGCCAGGCCAGGGAACGTGAAGGCGGGGCGCCCCCTAGTGGCTCCCGGCACACCTTCCCGGGCAGGCGGATGGACCCTGGCTCCCGGTCGTTTACGGGGGAAATAAGAAGGGTAATTCCTATCAGAAAGCCAGAGTCCCTCACTTAGTGACCGCCGCACGTCACCGAGATTTCCCAAGGACCCATGCACGCTGGTGAAACGCTGAAATAAGAAAAGTCTGCATCACACATTAACCACCAACGGAGGTTTAAGCCGGTTACGTTGGGTCTCGGGAGGCAGGGCCTTCAAACGCTCGGACCCGGGGCGAGGGCGATCGTGTTGATGGGCTGCGACGGCAGCGACAAGTCCCAGCTAAGTAACCAGGTGAGACCAGGTTCCGCCCACGCAGAACTGCTGGTCCCCAAAAGGTTCCGGAAAAGCGGCCGACACTGCCGCCCCGAGTCTGCCCGAGTCCGAGTCCCGATCCCTCCAGCGCCGAGGGGCCTGCTCCGGGCGGAGAGCCAACAGCGTGGACCTGGCAGCTGGGCGCCTAGGACGTCAGGCCGCAGGTCCCGCGCCCCACATGGGAGACCCACACCCCCGGCCCATCACCCAGAAAGAAGCCCGTCCTGGGGCAACAGGACCCACCTCAGGCCCAAAGTGCCCTCTTCTGTGGGGAGGCCCCTGCCTGAACCCCACAAGCTGCTCGCAGCCCACCCTGCTCTGTGCCCGGCTCCCGTCGGAGTCGCTGGGGCTTCCGGGTGCGTCTCAGCAGAGCAGTGGCAGGGGCGACTAACACCTACTCGC